ATGAGCAAAACTACCCTACCCACGACCTAGAGTTTGCGGCCATTATCTTTGCCCTAAAGATATGGCGTCATTACCTGTTTGGTCAGACTTTTGAGATTTACACTGACCACAAGAGTTTAAAGTACATCTTCTCACAGAGGGAGTTAAATATGAGATAGAGGTACTGGATGGATCTTCTGAAGGATTATGACGGCAAGATCATCTATCACCCCGATAGAGAAAATGTAGTTGTGATGCATTAAGCTAAAAGGAGTTTGCAATGTTGGCCCAAACTATGACATCTAGTTGGAAATTAATGGATACTATGTAGTCGTTCTGCCTCAACTATTATGCCAAAGGCACCTATCTCGCTCAGATCCGAGCCCTACTGAATCTCTTCATGAAAATCTAAAAAGCTTAGTCCACAAACTCCAAACTCACCAAGAATCTAGGTAAGTTCTCTTCTGACAAATTTCTTAATTTTAGGATTTTAGATGATGGACTGTATAAATTTCATAACTGAATTTGGGTTCCCATCACTGTATGGGTGGATGTTCTCAAGACTACCCACGCCTCCAAGCTATCTATCCATCCGGGGAGTACCAAGATGTATTGGGACTTAAAGTGTCAATACTGGTGGTCGAGAATGAAGAAGGATATAGTTGACTATGTCTCCTGATACATTATTTTTCAAAGAATTAAGGCAGAACATTAGAGACCCGTTGGTTTGTTAGAAGGCCTCCCGAGTCCAAAATGGAAGTGGGAGTATGTAACCATGAATTTTATCACAGGACTGCCCAAGCCCTGTTCTGGTTGAAACACTATCTAGGTCATCGTTGATAAACTAACCAAGACTGCCCATTTCTTATCAATCAGGACCACTAACTTCACCAGCAAATTAGCCCGTATTTATGTTGATGAGATTTTTTGACTTCATGATCCTCATCCATTATTTCCGGTCGAGATCCTCAATTTATATTCCACTTCTGGGACAGGTTTCAGGAAGCTTTGGGGTTTGGATTTTATTTCAGCACCGCTTATCATCCTCAAACAGATGGTCTATCAAAACGTACGATTCAGATGTTAAAAGACATGTTGCGTACTTGCATCCTTGATTTTGGCGATAACTAGTATGAGTATTTTTCACTATGTAAATTTGCTTATAATAACAATTATCATTCCAGCATCAGCATGGCTCTGTATGAAGCATTGTACGGTAGGTCTTACCGTTCTCCCACTTGTTGGAGTGAAGTCAAAAACCAACGTCATTTGGGACCGAACTTCATCCAAGAGACTATTGAGAAGGTTGCAATCATCTGCAAGAACTTGGCTACCGCCTAGAGCCGTCAAAAAATTTACATTGATAATCGTAGGCGATCCGTGAAATTTGTTATTGGAGACCATGTTTTCCTCAAGGTTTTTTCCTACAAGGAAAAGATGCGGTTTAGAAAAAGAAGGAAGTTAAGCCCTCATTATATTGGACCTTTTTGGATCAGTGAGTGCATTGGACCCGTGGTGTATCGCCTTACTTTACCCGAGAGTTTACGGGTTTACATGATATTTTTCACATCTCGATGTTCAAAAGGTACCACCTTGACCCTTCTCATATCATTCCTCACAATGAAATGCAGATACAAGCTAATATGATGTATGAACAAATCCCCGTAGAGATTCTTAGATGGACCGATAAGGTTTTGCGCAACAAGATGATTTCTGTGGTGAAGGTACAGTGGCAACATCATACCCCGGAAGAAGCAACGTGGGAGTTGGAAAGTGAGATGAGGGAGAAGTTTTTGGACCTATTCGAGACAAATTTTGGGATCAAATTTTTCTAAGGTGGGGAGGATGTAATACACCGCTCATCACTGTGCTTAATTTATTTATAAAATCCTATTTATTCGGGCCTTTAGGCCATATGTAACTCATTTAATTTACTCCACAAATTATATCGTAATATGTGAATTATCTTAATTTTTATTTATTTCGATTTTATTTTATTTTATTTTATTTTAGTCTAATTATTTATTTTTTAAAACGAATTTCGAAAAAACTGAAAAACGAGAGAAAATCCCACAGGAAAGGGTAGCTCGCACAGGTGCCTGTGCGCACAATGCGCACGTCCCATCCGCGCGTGGGTCGGGGGCCCTTGCGCATAGTGCGCATGTCCCATCCATACGAGGCTCGGGGTTAACCCTGCACACATCTTGTCGTGCACAGGCAGGTCGTCCATGTGTCACCTCACGCGCAGACAGGCGCAGCACACTATGAGCGTCATCCACGCAGCAAATCTTTGTGGGTAGGAGCTTGTAAGCTTGGGGTCTGCGCGCGTGGCAGGGTGGGTCGTACACCTACATGCTAGCATGCAGCGTGTCGGGCGGGGAGGCCACTGCTTTATTGGGCAATGTGCTACCGCCCACCTCGGGAAGTGCGCCACCACCGCTAGTAGAGGATTTTTCCTCCTTTGTTTTTTATGTCGAGCATCTTTTTCTCTATCTTCACCAAATTTTACCACTTGACATAAATCTAACTTCTCCAAATTTCTATAAATAGGGGTCCTTCCTTCCCTTTTTTTTCACATTTCCATTCTTTCACCTTTTAAGAATTAGAAAGAGAGAGAGAGAGAGAGAGAGAGAGAAAAAAAAAGTGATCTAGCGAGAAAAGAAGAGGAAGAAAAAAAGAACGATGTAGAAGAAATTATCAGAATTTCGGTGAGGAATTTAGTATTTCTTTAAACGTTTTTAGGGATATTTTTAAACAAAAAAAAAATATTAAATTGATAATTTGTTATTTTGCCTGTTTTTGCATAGTTTTGTGTTTGTAGGCTTAATAAGTTGAATTATTCTTGATTTCAAGCATATTATGTGATTTATACACACTTGATGGTTTGCATGTAATTAAAATAATATGAAATCGGTAATGTTAATTGGGAAATAAAAGAATAAAAAAAAATAGAATAAAGCACGAATGGTCTGAAGTATGTATCTATATTGACATGCATAATGCATCGAGTGTTTCGTTAGGTTTTTTATCTCTAACGGATATTTATTCTTCTAACCCCATCTGGGGTATCTATTTTTCCCTCCCTCATCTAGTCTGAAAAGACGTAAAATGACTGCTCCCTGTAGATGACAGCATACCCTCTTACGAGAGTGGTGATGCGAATATTTATTAGGGGTCACATTTTGCTAAGTATTGTCGTGACTATAGAATATTTTATAGGACTACTATGGTTGGTATGGCCGTGGTTATAAATCGTATCATGGTTTAGTAAGCCGAAAATGTGCCTGAGCAAATTGTCGTTATCTGTATCTGATTTGGTCATTTCACATGGGTAGTCAGAAATCTATATCTACCTTCAAATATGAAAGTTGTAACGACTTCGCGAAGCATGACAAGAAAATCTAAGTGTTTCATTATTTATTTGATTTTTTCTATTATTTGGTATGTTGTATTTGTTTTGATTATATTAACATAATATTTTCTCTAATAAGTAAAATATTTTCATAAGATAAGATAGGTTTACGAAGTAACCAAATGGTAAGTATGTATGTTAGAATAATTTACTTTTAAAACCTCACAATATTATTTAAATACTAATTTTCTTACTGAGCATATGGAACTCACTCTTTCCATGTCTCATCCCCATATGAGGAAGAAAATGAGAAACTGCCGGTTAACTTACCCATTGAAGTTTATAAGGATTCTGTAGATCTGCAAAACTTGAGTGCATGATCGTTCCAGTACTATGATGAGTCCAATAGCATAGTAAAAGCAGTGGTCTTCTTTTGTATTTTGACTTTATATTTTACAACCACTTCTAGCCTCAGTTATATATGTAATTGAAACTCATATATTTGTAAAGAATTTGTATTAATTTGTTCTACTGCATATAATTTTTATCATGCACTCGTAATTCTGTTTCTGTAACTAATACCCACATGCCTTAATTAGCATTGGGATATCACAGTGATTATCATGAGGAATCCTTTGTTCAATTAGCCTATGAGTGCCACAATGGTTATGTGTGAGTCCATATTACCCTATTGTTCCCCATCTTGATTAGATACTGCCATTGTCAATTCATAGTTATTGAGGTGTAAGTGCACCCTAAAGTAAGCTATACATTTTTTAGAAGATGATTGCTTACCCAAATCTTTTAAGTTACATCTAACTTAAAAAATATGGAGTTGAGGTATAACTATAATAAATGTAGCAATTTTGTATTATGTTCATATGCTGATGATAGAATAATACACAGTATTGTCCATATGGATGATAGCTTGGACTACAGAAAATAACACCATGTACTTTATGCGTTGAAGCAGGAACACATGCTTATCATGAGAGCTCGTTTGGGCATGCTTATAGCATACGAGTTATAAAAGCTTTATGGAGTCCTTGAGGACTATATAGATATCTTGTTTATTTGATTTTAAAGATGATAATTTCATAATTTAGGAGAGATTCTGCAAGATTGTTGGTACATGTGAAATGGTGGGTAAGTAGGCAACTTAATTGAGAGGATGTCTTTTTGTTTGGTGATGATGCACATTTACCAAATCTTAAGGGTAAATTATTAGGAACGTAAGAGGTTCTACATTGTAACATCCTCAGTAGCTTACCTAATCTTTTATTTAATCACTCAAGTTGCTAATTTTCTCCCTCATAAATTTGTCTAGCTAATTTCACTTACATTTTTTAGGAAAGTTGGGTGCAAGGTGGAGGAAGTTATCTGCTTCACCTTGTACTAAAATATTTCGAGATATTTTGTTATGGTAACCAATACAAGATATTCGGAGTTTTTTTTTTTACAATATTTGATAGATGATTGAATGAAGTTACTATCAACATTTTAACCTGAATGTTACTCAAAATTGTTTTATTTCATTGAATTAAAAACATGCATTATATCATAAAGCTATATGTAGTTTTACGAAACAAATAATTTACTCCCAAGGACTTTGATGTTTGCGAAAAGACATAAATTAGTTTAAACTTGTTCTGCTACGGACGCTTTTCGCTGAACCAAATTTTCCTTCTCGGTTCGACCCGTCTTGTAACCGGAAGGGAAAAACAGAAGTTGGATTAAACATTTTACGAACAATTAAAAATCTTGCTGCTACATCTCTTTTCTCACAAAATCCTTCAATGGGTTTTGCAACTTCGGATTATCAGAAAGCCTCTAGTGAACTACTATCCAAGTCTATAACCAAAAGCTAATTAAGCTCCCTGTTCAACAACTACATCGACGCTGCCTCGTTGACCCAACTCATTTCCCGATCGTTGAAGCAAGGAATGCCGACAATTCGGGCAGGAAGAGTGGGAGTTCAGCCACGTATCTATACAGCTCACATGGAAACCATGATTACAATTAGGCAGTATCCTCACCTTCTCACCCTCCATGAACTCCCCAAGGCAAATAGCACAGTCAGTTGCAGATATATTAACGTCTACCCCATAAGCAGCCACCGGGATTTGTCTAAGTTGTCGCTTCTTCAGCCCTGTTGCCGGTTGGCTAGCCGCTGTCTCCATGACCAACCTCCGGCTGCACTGCAAAGCGCATCGCACTATTGAGTTCAAACCCAGAGCGCATATAAGCGCGCACAGCAAAGCAACCAGTACAATCACCATGTTTGCATCGAAGTTCGTGTCGGTCATGTACGAATCATGTGTGGTGTTTCTGGAAGAAGCCACCGCCGGCATGTTCGCCTCCGTCTCCAGAAGCTGCCCATGTATGTTAACCATGCTGCTTAGCAATTTCGAGGTAGTTAATGAAGTAATTGGGATTGAATGGTGGAAGAACAAAAAGGGTATGGAGTATGTTGTGAAGATTCCAAACTGGAAAAGGACATGGAAAGAGCATCTTCTCTGGGCTCTGTTACGAGGAAAAAGGAGAGAGTGAATTAGTTTGGAGGGGACCCTTTAATTTGCTCCTCTCATCTGGGTTTGTGCTCAAAAACCCCAAAGCAAAAGAGATGAGTAAGGGTATATAATATATATATATACTATATGTATGTATTCAAGATTGCTTGTCCTTCTTATTCCAACAATCACAGTTGCAGGAGGGGACCTTGACAAATTCTGATTCTCATTGTTATCCAAATGTGGGATTTTAGTACAGTGACTTTGGTGGTGCAGAGAGGGTCAGTGGAACCCAAAATTTATATCAAACCATGATTGTAGTATTTTGAGGGAGAAATTTTTGTGTGTTTCTGGATCACTGCACCCTTTTCATTTGATTCAATGAGGTTTTTTATAAAAGAAATAACCAATCAAATTCAAGTTGTTGTTGCTCTATCACTACATAATAAATTCTCTCTTTGAGGACGTCAAATTTCAAGAATCATCTTTTTTCAACTTCACAACTTCAGGACTCAGAAATATAAACAAAAAGAAAAAGTGAAACCAATATCGGGGTAGCTTTCTCTTTTACATGATCATCCCCAATATTTAAGGTTACTTTTTTAACGAATAATTTTTTTTTATTATTTTTTTTTATAAATTTATATTTATTTAATTATAAAAGTTCAAAACTTTTTACTAAATGATTAAATTTTGTTTCCATTTTTTATACGCTCAGTTAAGGCAAAACTAATAATTTTAGCAAATTGACTCTATTTTCAAAAAAAATAATTTTATTTTTTAAAATTAATATATTTATTTATAAAAAAATATTAAAGTATCTGTTTTGTAATCAATGTGTAAATAAAAAATTATAAAAAATACTTCAGATAATTTTATTCTTTTCAAATTTTATTTTATTATTATCATGAGTATCTCACATTTTTTTTAATTAATAGCGTATGCAATTAAATTTAAAAAAATGGAAATAGAAAAAAGTTTTCACCTCTTTTGTCCACTGCCGACTAGGAACTTTACTTTTCCCGTGTTAATGTCATCCTTTTTATTGTTCGTGTATATCCTTTTTGATAGGCCTTTTAGTCTTTGACCAATATCATAAAATTACTTTAATATCCTTTCATGACATTTTATTATAAAATATTTAGAAAATACAAAAAGATCCCTACTAAAATAATATATGTAGCGTTCCATTTATACGTCTTATTTTCATCTGTCACTAAATAAAACTATCTAAGCTTATGATAAATCACTTTAAATTGGGTAGAAGAGATCATGATAATAAGAGAATTATTGTGCATGCGAAACTAGCAAAGATTAAAATGTGCACTTGAAACTCTTAAAAGTTTCATGGTAAAAGAAATAAACAGTTAACTGATTATAGAAAATCTATCAAATTCTTTATTCTACATCAAGAAAGTCAAAATATTAAACTCTAAAGCTATTTGCTACACAGTATATACTTTTCTTACCACAGTATATACTTCCCTCTTCTAGATTTTTACAAGCTTCCACATCTAGATTCCTCCAGGAGTTTTTGGAGAGATTTACATTCCAGCAATTCTAGTCCAAATAAATTGTCCCAGTTTCCAATTTGGTAAGGAGAGTTAAGTGCAGAAACACTGACTCGATGCAGTGAACTAGTCGGCATTTTAAAAAGCAGGACTAGTATTCTTAACTTATAGGATATAAGAGAAGAAACACAACTGGGCTTTGGAAAACCTTAATAATCTGGACGACTAAGTTTCTTCTGCGCCATTTCCAGTCTCGTCCAGTAAAATAGCATCCAAACGAGCTACAAAATTATTGGCAGATAAATTTATAGACTGATTTTCTTTTATCAGATTTGCTACTTGTTCTCTCAGTTTTTGGTTCTGCTCTTCCAGCACAGGAATTGACAGGACCTGGCTTCTTAATGCTCTAATTTCATTTTTGAGTTCATCGATTTCCTTCCTCAATTCCACATTTTGCACTTCTAATAACTGACAGTTCCTTGGTAAGTCATCTTCCTGCATACGAGAATATGAGGATTCTGAAAATGTATCACCAGGAAATAAAACAAATAAAAAACACGAACCAAGATAGATCAACTGACATTGAAATTAGAAAGGTCTGTGGAAGAGTGTTGGCATTGTGAAGGTTGCTCCACTTGTTTGTTTGCTTCTACCACAGTTGACATTGATGGGTGTTCCATGGTGTCTATTTGCACAGTTGGAACATGTTTTGATGTTATTTGTTCTTCCAAATTGACCTCCTGTCCTCTAAATATTTCTCTTTCATCTGCAGAATCTGTATTTGATTTGCTATCTGCTTCAATAATCTTCAGAAGAAAAAAAAATTCAAGCTTATTAATGATTAAGTCAAAACATTGACAAGCTTATCAATGAGTAAGTCCTTGAGGGTTAAAGTTTGAAGAAAGTCTTCTGTAAGCATGTAACATACTCTAGCCATTGAATAACCATCTGAACTGCTATGCTGCCTGGAAACCATGCTCGTGCCATTTTGTTCCAATAACTCTTTGATTACCTCTAACTCTAACTCTTCAGAGGTAGGTTGAAGCTGCCAAGTTATCTGATATTTGATGCATTAATTAGCATCCAAATAGTAAAAGGAAAAGCCACAGTACTGGTCTATCCTTAAATTCATGAAAATGCACTATTTCATATAGCCAAACTAGGTCCTATATGTTGCAGAATTTTTCTGGTACCCAAAGGATAGGCAATCTACAAGTCACATAATATAATCAATGAACTTACAACCTGATGATCCTGCAGCTCCTTAAACTTTGAAGTGAACCACTGTCTTTGGTGGGGCCGACCACTTCCCCATCTACATGCTCGGGGAAATGTCAAATAACTATCCAGCAGAATAGGTCGAGCTATATCGACATGCTCGTAGGCCCAAACCTATTCAAAATTACCACAGGAAAGATCTTGTTAGTTAAGATCATATTAAATTAAATAGAAAACTCCATCTTATTTAATTAGATACTCCATGACCATCTATATAAGTTAATGTTGCCTGTCTTTTGTAAGATAAAAGAAAATTTGTGCGTAGCATACATAATTTGCCGCATTAGTCAAAAGTTCTCCTTGATCAAAGATAAAACTGATAGGAGAATCAAACATTTCACAAAACCCTCGAGTGCAATAGGAAATTGAAAGTACTTCATGATCAAAGCAAAAACAAATGAGAGGCATATACAATACTTGGAGAAATATGAGACACCCTCCTACATAATGCACATTTGTCTCTTTTCTTCTGTTCAGCCACATGATCATATCATCCAGAACAGCTGCACCCCAGGCAAAGTGACAGATATCATCCATATTTTGAAGAAGCAACAGATATCGGGAATCTACTTTTCCATTTGCACTTGGTAAGAGAAGAGTCCCAACGGTGAACAGTAAAAAGGTTCTAATGAAATCATCAACAGCAGCTTCACCAATTGAGTTCAATCTACTCTCAAGTGACGCAACTGTAATCTTCCTCTTCAATGAAGTAGCACCATAGTCCCTCTCTAAATCCGACAAAGGTTCATCTTCGCTAAGGATAACAGGATTTCCAAAACCATGTAGTCCTAGAATCAAAGCAACATCCATCAAAGTGATAGTTATTGCACCCGGAAGGAGCATGAAAGCCTGGTTTTCAGTACTCCATCTTTCCATCAATTCAACCAGTAGATTCTTGCTCAGCATCTGATTAGGCATCAGCAGCAAATTTCCAAAACCAACCTTCTGTATTGCACTTCTTTGATCATCTGTGAGTTTCTCCACTCGCTTGACAAAAGATGGCAAGGAAAACCTAGTGCTGAAATTTCCCACCTGCATAAACTTTGATATAGTTGGGTATTTCAGAGGCTGCATTGTTGTAAAATGACATGCCTTACCAGCTGATTAACATGCTTTATAACTTATCCATTATTTACCAGAATAACAAAGATGAAGACAGAATTATTATCTTTTTTCTGTATATATAGTATCATATAAGACTCTAATCTTCACATTAGAAAAACAGAATCAAATAATTTGTTTAGCCTTCAAGATCACGTCCATAAACTTGGCATGTACTGCTCAGAAAAACAAAGATTACGCCTCTCAGAACCCAATATGAATTTTCTCGTAGTTGCTATGGCCCAGTGGTAGTAGGTTTGCTCTTAGACATCTTTACTCATCTGGAAACATTTTATGTATCCGTCCAAGACCCGTATACGCTTTTATTTTATCTCAATTTTGGGTCATACAATATAATTGAAAAAACAACTAAGTTTAAAAGAAAGAAACTCATTCAGTTTCCGTTCTTTGTCTCAAGTTTCTTGGCAAACAAAGAGATAGATAACTAAACTAAATATACACAACGAAAAACCGAAGTTTCCCAAGTTAAAGTACTTTGCCTCAATTTTCTTGGCCTCAAACAGAGCTTATCAAACAGAGCTTATAAATAAGAAAAGGAGGTAAAACAATGAAGGAAAATAGTGACACCTTATCGTTAAAACCTTCATCTACTCCAAGTCCAACGGAAGACTTCCTGGTTGATCTCCTCATTTTCTTTTACTAATCCTAGCAACGCACATAGACTGCATTGAAGAAAAAAATAAATTCTGAAACCTCTCAACTCAAAATTTCAGAGAATAGAAAAGCTCCAACAGTAATTGAATTGTGGATAAGCATAAAACTGAAGTTGCTATAGAGTCAAATGCATAAACGGATCTAGATGTTACCCACCGTTGTTTATCGCGCAGCAATCTTTACATTGTTCCATTTTATTCCTTTCATATCTGTGAGCAGTAGACAAGCATGTAGCTGGTAGAGATTAGTTAGAGCAACACCTAAGAAATTAGACAATAATACAGGTAACTTGCAATCATTTGTAATCTCCCATGGATAAGGAAGATTCTGTTGTAACATTCACCATGAATGAAAAGCTGAGCAATCCTTGAAGTTTCTCTTCCCCTGGTTTTCCTCCTAAAGTCTCCTCTTCTTCTTCTCCTTCCCGTTTGCCTTTCCGATTCGTGTCCTGCGACAAATCGTATCACTAGGGTTCCGGTAAACATACGCTGAGAACACGAAGAGAGTGGATGTTTTAACTAGAGGGAGAGGGGCGGGCAAAGAA